AAACCAAACCCTAGTTGGGAAAATTGTTCCAAGACAAATGTTTGAGGTAATTTTTATTCTAACTCTACAACCGGCCGGCATTCGCCGACGGGAGCCGAGACCAAAGTTGGCGAGAAAATTGGTGTGAAAATTTTGAGACCTTCTGTGCTCAAAATCCTGCACCGAAACTCAAGTTACAATTTTTTATTATTATTTTTATATTGATTAAGAAAAAATATTTTATCTTTTATTTATTTTACTGCAAATTGGGGCAGAAATTGGGGACGTCTACTGAGAGCAAAGTTGATCATCGGGACTTTTTCAAAATATTAAGATGTTTTCGGGAGAAACCGACATCGGATGTGGCCGGTACGCGCCCCATTAGTCCCCGTTAAATTCAATTAAATTGCCCAATTTTATTTTTTTTTTTTATTTTTTTTTTTTTGTTAAAAAGGGTTAATAAAAAAATTTGATCCATTGGAAAGTTTTGCTACACACCCAAGTATGATTCTGCCTGGTTTCATTGCGTGAAAACATTCGGCGGTGTGCGTGCGGGCGCGTGCGAAAATGGGAACCCTAGTGGCTCGAGACCCTACTTAGCTAATATAATTTAATTATAGGTTTCCACTTCTTTTAATTTTAACTTCAGAACCGAGCGACTTTGACCGGCAAACAACCGGACCAAAGTTGGGCGGTTCATTTCTCCGGGAGTTTTAAGACCCTTCGCGGGCGAAACTGGCGGAGGGAAGCTCGGATATAACAATGTAATTGCAATTTGGTAAATTGAAATCTTTAAATTAAAATATTATTTTGTATTATAACTGAAAATCTGAGCAGTTTTCGGTGGGGCGCGCCGGGCGTGAGTTTGTTTGGAAGATTGTTTTTCGGAAATTTTAAGACCTTCCGCGCGCAAAACCAACATGCCGAACTCTCAGAAAAGAATAAAATGTATCAAATAATCTAGAAATTTAAATATATTTTTTTTTAATCCTTGAAAAATATTAAATTAAATACTAAAAACTAAAAATAAAATCAATTAAAATTCTTTTTATATTTCTGATCGGTTGATAAATCATTTTTTTTTACAACGCCCAGATTGGAGGGAACTTCGATTTTCCCTCAAATAGAGCACATGCCTTCTATTTGAACATTTTTCGAAAAATGCATGTAGGCTCAATTCAAATCGAAATTTCGACATTTTTTTCTTTTTAAAACAGTCTGGATTAGTACGACTTCGGCCCCACTCCGAACCTCAAGGGCTCGGTCGACCTGCTTCTGGAGATCGATCACTCGGTTAGACCGCCTTGACGTTTTTTTTCCTAGTCCTTTCTCCACTCCTCTCTACTAATGTCTCTTGAGGTTCTATCCCTTGTCTATTTCTGACTATTCTGAACCTTTCTTCTCTCATACAGAAGTCGGCAGTTAGAGGTGTTCCCCCATCCCACCCATCCAATACGATTATAAGTGCTTTAGTCCGACTGAATCATTAGAACCGGACTAGGAACCGGATTGGGGTTACTTGACATATCCCCCGCTAGAAATTAAGCTTAACTAGGAGAAAAAATCAATAGGTCCGGGCTGCTAGCTCTTTTTTTACGACTCTCACATTAGGGCGGGACTCCATCTCACCGTGATGGATGAAAGAATATCCTGGATTGTGGCGACAGTTCCAGTAGGTTGGAGACACGAGGGAGTAATTCATCATAGGTCCGAGTTGGATGAGTGATTCTAGCGAGTTTAACGTTCGTTAAGTGTGGAACACGGACTTATAGCTCTAAGGATAGTTAAACGGTACTACCCGGGCTTATTCATTAGGTCCGGGCTTGAGAGGAGCCACTTACACCGGGTATAGAGTCCGACACCATGGGAGTTCATGTAGATACGGGAGAGAATCACTTGTCGCCCGGTCGAACTCTTCGCGAGCTCAAGGAGCGCATTCGACAGAACGCGCCTCTGAGATGCGTAGAGCAACCCGACGATGGAGAGCCCGAAGTGAGAGGTGGTCCGATCATCGTCGAGCCAGATAGAGCGATGTAGACGGTACGAATGGAGAACTTGACGGAGTCTCTCAGTTTTCGGAGAGAGATGGGCGATCGGTGCTCACCTACCTACGAGCGAAGAGACGCCAGAGGGGATCGACACAGAGATGACTGGAGAGATCAAAATGTCAGGGAGCAGGCTTGGAGAGATAGAGATAGGCCTCCCGAGAGGAACACGCCGCCTCAACGGATCTAGGATCCGCAGACGGGCGAGTCGTATACGCTTCCTTATGAGAGGAGGGACCGCTACATGGTCTCTTATCATCCGACAGCGCTGGAGACCAGGCCGCCTGTCTTCAAAGGGTACGGTATCACCGAATACCTCGAAAAGTGGGAGCTACATGCGTACCGCAGCCAGTGGTGCAAGGATGAGATTATAGACAATTTTCTGTTTAACTCGGACCTGAGTCTGAATCAGGTGATCAAAGAAGCTCGACCAAAGGACAGAAAGTGGACTACCTATAAGACTAGTCTTAACGAACTCTTCAAGCTAGAGGACATCAGATACTCGATCAGGGATCTGGAGTCGATGACGCAGGGTGAGGATGAGAGCGTTCGGGCATTCGGTAAACGCTTCCAAAAGATATCGGATGCCCTGATCGCAAAGGGGAAGTTGTCGGAAGTCGACCGGTGCACGATTTTCATCTACCGACTGCCCAGAGGGAAACAGGAGTGGATACTTAGGGAACTCCCTCATGACGAGATAAATTTTACGATGGTTCTCAAGTTGGCTATGAAACCCGAAGCAGATGACTATAAGGATTTGGTTTGGAGAGGGATGCGATGACGAGACTTCTCTCTCTACCGAGAGTACGATACAGAGATGTGTCCCGACTGCAATGATCAGCCTTGGGCAGATCGACGATATTTGTTGGATGGAGTCCGACTGGACAGACCTACAGAGACTGTGATAGATGAGATGAGGGAGATGAGGGAGATGAGTGAGATGATCAAGGTCTTGGCTCGACAGGTTGCGAGGATAGAGGCAAAGACGAAGGTTGTTGGTTATCAGGCGAGGAACGGTTCGTCGAACTTGCTGAGGTGCGATCGAGTTAGGACTGGTTCAACGTACTCGCTAAGGTGGGATAATCGAGACCTAGGACCATGGAGAGACGTGGTGTCGGAGGGTGCGGTGTCCCGGCCCTCCTCTGTGTGTCAGGCTCCTGCTCGGTAACATCGCCCCACTCAGACGCTGGCGGCACGTCGGGCCGTTCCGAACCTCTATGGCTCTTTTGGTGCACCAGGGTTATGCCCTGTTATGGACCGGTCCAATTGGTGCGCACCTTGGCAAAAAGTTGGGGGTGCGCCACTGGACTTTTCATTGGTCCATGCAGGCTCGGCGCCCTGCTATACAGCAGACCACTACCGGCCTGTGGTCGTGGTAGCCGCTGGGTTCGCCCAGGGACGAGGAAGTAGATAGGTCGGCGCAACCTTTTCTACTGCGTGCCGAGTGCTCCTTTTGTCAGGTTATGGGTTAGGTGCTTGGATAGGTGGTCGTTGTCAGAGAAAAGGGGGCTGAGCAAAGAAAACAAGGAAATGTAAAGAGAAAAATGAAAAGAAAGCAAGAAACCTAATCTGCGTGACTGAACTGTCAGCCTTAATTTGGTCTGTCGTTACATTTCCGCTCTTTTCCTTATTATTACTATTACCAATATTCAATTTTCCTTTTCATACGATTCATCAGACTCGGCTTGATTTTGGCCTATCGTCTCAAGGTGCCTGCGGGTCAACTTTGAAATGCGATCGTCGTTAGACGGATCACACTAGTTCAACTTTTCGCTGTTTCCCTGCGCCAGGTCTGTTCGACTGGGCTTCGTGCGATAAGACCCCAAAAGAGGGGCGACCCGCGGCCGCATCGGTAGGAGGCTTATCACCCCCGTGAAAGGTCATAAGCCCCCTCCTTGCCATCGGACACGGGTACCCGATAGAAGCAGGCCGATGAAGCGTTTTGAAGAGAGAGGGGCGACTGTCGGTATCCCGTTATGGGACCAGTTTTTGGATTATAGTCACACCTTGATGGTGATTAAACGGCCATGCACTGACTTTGTCATGCTAACGGTGGGTTCATGCATATATATATATATATATATATATATATATATATATATATATATATATATATATATATATATATATATATATATGCAATTCTTCCTCATGTCAATCTTCCTCATAACCGTATTTGTCATGATGTTTCAAAAGTGGTCGAGGAAGCCTATACATATGCCTTACAACAGCACACACAGGAGCGCACATATCCTCCTACCCTTAACATGATTGTTAAAGGGCCTCGTCAAGGGGAGTGGACGGTTGATACCGGACCAAACACCTTGACCGTTTCCCAAATTCTTGAACATCTCCATTTCATTATCACAAACACTTATCTTTATGCAGCGGACGACACCTTGCGACATCAGTTGATTGGCATCCCGATGGGGACTAATTTTGGTTCGGAGATATCTAATTTGACGTTGTATTGGGATGAGGCTCGATTTGTTGATGACCTCCAGCGGCGTGATCTTCGCGCAGCTCAACGGTATGCATTCACATACCGCTTGATCGATGATGTTCTCTCATGGGGACATCTGCCACCACCGTCAGAGCACTATGGCCTCGAATGGAAGGAGACCACAACGCCTGATGGCTCTTGCACATTCTTGGGTGCACGCCTCCAAGTCCGCCCTGACGGCTCCCTRCGTATGAGTGTCTTTGACAAAGCAGCTGAATGGAATTTCCCTGTTATTCGTTATCCTAGTGCTACATCTAACGTCCCTGCACACCAGCCGGCGGGAGTGTTTACAKGCCAGCTTACTAGGTTTGAGYATGTCTRYAACAACTGGTATGATTTCAAAACTGCAGCAGCGATGCTCACACGCCGCATGCTTTTTCGCGGGCACTCTCCAACAACGCTTGCGAAAGGATTGACTTCCTATATTCGTTAACGTCAACACAGGTACCCTGCGCATGTGACCCGCCTCTTTGATGGTTCCGCAGCATGTTCCGCAGCATGCTTCGATGGTCTATTCATCACCCGCTTTCTCGGGTATCTACACACTGTCCTCGGACTACGCCTGTCACAACCCCTTCTTYATTATCGGCGCCTGTCACACCTATCACAGCCTCTTCTTCATTACCTGCGTCTGCCGCACATGCGTCCTCATCAGTCTTAGTAACCCCTTCCATGTCGTTTGTGACCCTGGCTGCCCCTTTTCGGTTCGCAGCCTCTTCCTCATCGGCCTTGGTTGCTTCTACGATTGATTCCGCGGGAGCAACTCGACCCGCAACTGCTRTGTCGCCTTTGGTCTCGGTGTGTTCCTCCATGGCATCCGTGGCCACCGCAGCCGTTGTGTCGCCCTTGGTCTCGGTGTGTTCCTCCATGGCATCCGTGGCCACCGCAGCCGTTGTGTCGCCCTTGGTCTCGGTGTGTTCCTCCATGGCATCCGTGACCACCGCATCTGTTGTGTCGCCCTTGGTCTCGGTGGGTTCCTCCATGGCATCCGTGGCCATGCCTGCGTTACCACCTGCAGAGTCCCCTCTTCGGGTCTCACCTACGACTGCCCCCCCTGTCTCTGCTTCAGCCACTTCACCACCCCTGACTTCATCCCCCCCATCTTCACCGCTTTTATTTCCCCTGGTTTTATCGCCGTCTGTTACCCACCTTCCGACTACTCTACCACCCCTGTCTTCACCACTCCTACCTCCCCTGGTTTTGTCTCCATCCGTTACCCCTCTTCCTAATCCACAAACCACTTCGTCCACACAGACTCCGTCATCATGTTCTGCCCCTGCAGAAAGCCCACTTCGCCGTCCTAGACGCCGACTTCGACCTACTTCCCAACCTCAGCTTACTCCCCTTTCCTCCATCTCTGTTCTTGGACGAAGAAGAACCCGTTCATTCTCCCCACCACGGCCCTCCCCAACATCCCGTCCCCGTCTTTTGCCGCCCCAAGCATCCTTACCACGCCTGCAACGCTCTTCGACTGCAGACCTTTTTGCAATGCGGCAATCACAAAACGGGAGGGATGATGGCGAGGGACCATCTGAGGATGAACTTGGCAAGGGGACTGTAGGAGATTCTGTAGAAAATCCGCTTGACCGACCTCCACTGAATCTGTGTGGCCTCGCTGCTACTAGCATCTGCCTACCAGCCTATCGTCGGGAACCATATACTCACTCTGATTTCTTGGCCATTGCTTCCGATCTTGATGCTCAGGAACGTRAGTTATATGGCAATAACCCGGCTCTGCATCCCCCACAGGATAGTAATTAYACTCGACATGGGGGATTCAATGTCTCTGTTTTGGAGACTGCTTTGATAAGGCGCCGGGTTGATATGCAGCGTCCCCCTTCGGGTGGCGACCCGGACCACTGTTCGCACGTTTGTGCCTATATTCTACATACTCCTGGCCCCTACACCACTCTTGTCCGTGCCTCTGGTTCTTCGGAATTATGGAATGGCGGTGCTATGGTGCAAACTATTACTGTCATCTGTGATCTCGTGCGTAATTACCCTAACGTACAACTGCTCCAGGTCATTGACCCTATGGGTACCTCGTGTACTGCCATGCCCGCCTCTACGCCTATCTCTGTGCCTGCCTCCGTACCTGTCTCTGTGCCTGTTTCTATGTCTGTCTCCTTCCAGATTACTGACCCTATAGGTACCTCGTGTACTTCCGTCCTCGCCTCTGCACATGTCTCTGTGCCTGCCTCCGCACCTGTCTCCATGCCCGTTTCTGTGTCTGTCTCCATGCCCGTTT